CATTTATGTATACTTCAAGAATACCCATTGCTTAAGATTTTTCATATAACAAATAGATACATCCATAATGTGAAAAATTAACTATAAAAGCGATAAAATACTTTTCTCCTCCAAAAGATGGAACATCAGAAGGTATACAAATGTCTGTATGAATAATTTTAAGAGGCCCTATAGTTATTGTGGCTCATTTTTTTGTGTGTTTGGTTTGTTTACCCTTAATACAATCCACACACACACCAAAATCAGTAAAGTTTAGATTCAGAAGAATCACATCCTTTACTAATTTTTCTAACATTTTACTAGATATTGACCTAGTCTTTTATACCACAAGAAAAATAAATTTTTTTATTAATTGAGCTCCGCTTAATTCTAACATTATGATGCAAGATCAAAAGGTTTTTAATAAATAAACTATCAAGTTTGAATTTACAGAAATCATCAACAATAATACCATAACTCACATATTAGAATTTCTTGAATAAACATCATTATCAAATTTAAATGAAAAATCATTAACATAAAGTTTTGAAATAAAATCAAATTATGAAAAATTAAATAAACATAAAAAGTTTAAAATAATTTAAATAAAATCCATTGTCTAACATTAAACATAATGTCACAATGGTTTCAACAAAACTTTTACCCAATTATCACAAATAAGAAATTCTTATTTGAATTTGTGGTTTAGGTCATAAGAAATTCTTACATCTATTAGAAACATAAACATTAGTGCTCAAGTCAACCTATCAAGTATTAGAAAGAATTTTAATAAGTAATTCGAAATATACAAAAATCAAAAGCTTACCATTCTTTTTCGAATCATTCTTTATATTTCATGTAATCTTTCTAAAAATGTTCAATACATTAATGACATTTTTTCATTATTACATTCCTTTCTTTTAGTAGATTAACCTAAATCTTTTAATTTTGGGTGTTGCTCACTTAATGCCTTTTTCAGGCTTATTCCCAAAATTTATTTATAACTTCTTAAGTCAGAGATAAACATAATGATTACCTTGCTACTTAAGTCTTGTCTTCTCCTAGATTAACATAATGGTCAATTAAATCACTTTCCACTTGTCTTAATAATGTTAATTCTCTAATTGACCCATACTGAATAGACAAGAAATTGAAAATAAATTGAATAAGAAAATTCGCATTCACAATCATCCATAAGGTTCTCAATTTTGCAGCAACATTAGTCATCTAAAAAAAAAAACATACCCACACATGGTAAGAGTACCAACAAAATTGCATAGTAGTGATATAAATTAATAATTTTCGTTTTAGATATTTATCTACAATACGAAAACATTCTTCTAGTCAAAATATTTATTAGCACTATCACTATGGAAAACAATTATTCACATAACTATAATGCTTAATCTGTTCGATCTCTCCCAAACTTTATGAAGAATCTTTTCTCCCTCGCTGTTTTTATCAGTAATAACAGTAGGTTTCTCAATTTAAAATGCTAAATCAAGATTTAACACATCTAAATTTTGAACTCAACTTACTCATTCCATTATGAAAAGTTAGTTCTATTGAGAATCAGAATAGATATAGCATGCGCATTAAGAAATATAATAAAACAAATATAATAAGATAAAATGCTCACAACAATAATGCTTTGAGTTAATAACACGTTTATATAACTTAAAAATATAAATACAATGTATAACTATAATACCCCTTTGGGTGGCAACTATAAAATACTAATAATGATGCTTATTTCTGTTTATATGTATACCTTCATTCGTGATGTATTATTTAATTAAACAGATAAGTTACCTTTGGATATCCTATATCTACCTAATTAAAAAATACATGCAATCCCTTCATTTTTATTTAATCACTTGAAAATCAATTTCCTTTGAAGAATTATTTCTCATAATTAAATAAACTCAATATTCATGAATATCACAAAAAATAATTAGCATCATAATTCATGAAATATTGCAATTATGTTTACTACTAAAATTAATATTCATTAACCATTATGGTTAGGCCACTTTGGTAACTATCTACTTTTACATAATATGAATATTAAATTAGTTAGTAATTAATTTATGATTAATTATGTCTATTACAAAATTTAATATTTATCAATCATTATGATTGGGCCACTTTGGTAGTTACCAATCTTCACATAATATGAATATTAAATTAGACAGTGATTAATTCATCATTAATTATGTTTACTATTATAATTAATATTCATCAATCATCATGGTTAGGCCACTTTGGTAGTTAATAACCCTCACATAATATGAATATTAAATTATCTAGTGACATATTAATCATTAAGTTACCCATTTAATATTATACACACATACTCATGCTAATCGATCAAAGTTTAGATATATAGATTCGATCCCAGAAACTTAATAGTCCAAAAATTTAATAAAAATATTATTTTTACTTTATATATACATAATAAAACATATTATTATTACTTTTTATTTTTGGACTTAAAGATCATAATTGAATCAATCTAAAATTGGTTCAGCATCATGTATGTATGTATGAGTACAAAACAATAATTATTTGCATGTTCAATAACATTAAATTAAATTTTTAGACTCACACATTATTCTAAAAAATTAAATTTTCATTAAAATAAATAAATACACATTCTTTATTTATTTAATAATTTATTATATATACATTGAGTTTCGTAACAGCACTTTCCGATCCTCAGTACGAGAACTGACCAGTAACAAAAATCCACCTTTCAATTCTATATAGAGATCATGCACGAAAATAAAAAATCTAGTGGATATATGTTGTCTCAATTAGCAGCATCTCCATTGCATTGCTTTTCCATAAGCAATTGAAAGTTGTAAAACATTATTTATTTGTATGGAAAGATTTTCCCACAGCCAATGATTAGAAAATAGGTCCATGGCAGTTTACTATCATTATTGTATAATATGTTTATCCATACACATATTGCGTCTATATATACAATGATTCCAGAAGGAAATAAATTATATATTTATATAATATTACTATCATTACTTTATATTTATGCAATTTTAAAGGAAAATAACGAGTTCCTAAACTATAAGCTCTGATACCACATGTAAACTTTAATAATTTGTGAAACCATTAATCACAAATTTACATGAATCCCATATCTAAGAACTTCATGATTTTCACGTATCTATAAGGCATAAATAAATGGTTAAATATAAATACCTCGATTCATGATATCAAACCTTGTTGAGATTAAATCCAATGTCTAGATGCTTTAACCACAAACTAATCTGCAACTCTAATCAACAGGCAAAGGTGGAAACTGGTTTATCTCTCTTGGCCTTTTGCACACATAAAACTTTTACATGTTGTATCATTAATTGTACATAATTGATGGAGTATATGCACTTTTATAAAATCAGAGAGTGGACCAATTTTCCTTTTAGTAACCTAATTTCACTTCCCATCAAAGTAAGGAATAAGAAAGAAAAACACTTCTCCAATAAGTAATTACCAAAAAGGTAATTTATAAGTTGACCAAATAATATAATATTAATCTGATATCTATTTTATTTAATCACCAAATAATATGTCACATATCCAAATCATGTGGGCCACAATTAAATAAATAATCTTACACAGTACATCGTCCTCACTTGAACCAATAACAAATGAATAAGTCTTTTTTTATTACTAATTTAGAGAAGATTTGGTAATTAAAAAATGAGGTATTCATTTATTATTCGTCCACATCAACGGTGTTCTCATGAATAAAAACTTAAGCATTTTTCAACATAATTATTACATATATAATTCAAATCCCAACATCATTGATAAACAAGATAACACTGATTACATTATACAACACTACATTTTATTTATTCAGAATTTGAAAATTAGACAATTTTCAGTATCAAATTGATGCTTATGACATGAGTTCAATCTCAATGAAGATAACTGGACCAAGCTTTATGGTAGCAATAGTAGGATCATCGACAATGGCTTTAAGGGTAGAACTCTCACCTTTCACGTAATCCTTCATGAATGCCACTACAATTCTTCTTAATTTGAGTAACTTTACTGCCAATATCATAAAAATTGATGATATTCAGGTTGATATTCACTTAGTCACACAATTCATTCAAAGAGGCCTCGCTCTCAAGCTCCATACGCAAATTTGCGATTTGGGAGCGAATTCACTCAAAATTCGCGAATTCAATTTTTGTAATTCGCGAATTTGTTTTCCTAATTCGCGATTTCCATACGAATTTACTTTATATAACTAAATTTGTTAGAGTCCCAGTGATATGGAACACCTATATTACCATATATGCATTTATTACTTAAATTTCAGTGTGCCCTTAGTATATGGCGTTGCTATACTACCACATATATATATATATATATATATATATATATATATTAATTATACATGTTTGAAAATATCCTACTAAAAAACTTTTCAATTAGAGAATATTACAAATAAATTACACATCTTTTAGTGAAAAAAGTTAGCTTATTTATTACATATATCGTTAATGGAATAAATAATCATGAAAATATTTGCATATGGATTTAAATAAATAAAAATATATATGTAATATAATTTTATTTAAACAAAATATAACAACGCTCTCAAGATGCTCCCGCTCTAAAAAATTTTAAACTTTGACGCTTTCGCGCTCTCGCTCCCACTCCCGCTCCTGCACTCGCTCCCGCTCTGTGTGACTTAGGATATTCATCTAATAATTATTTCTATATAATTGTTGAAATATATTACCAATTATGTAATGAAAGGCTTGTGTGGATTTTCTTAGATTGGTTGAGACAATAAATATTTGGTTGAATTAAATTGAAGTGTGTGTGTGTGTGTGTGTGTGTATATATATATATATATATTAAATTATTACTACTTGACTTCCTTGATACCTCCAAACTTGTGGAGCCTTAAGGATCTATTGGGTTTGAATTTGTCCACAAGCTCTCTTAGTGGTAATCTACCATTAGATATCGGGAATTTGATGGTCATAACACAACTAGACTTGTCGTGGAACCAGTTATCAAGTGATATCCCCAGCACCATTGGAAGCACTCAATCATTAGTTAATCTCTCCTTGGCGCATAATGAACTGCAAGGACATATTCCACAATCACTAGGCAACTTGATAAGCTTGGAATTCTTAGATCTATCCAACAACAATTTCTCTGGAGAGATTCCCAAGTCCTTAGAGACTCTCAGGTATCTTCAATATTTGAATGTCTCTTTCTATAGAATCCAAGGAGAAATTCCTACTGGAGGACATTTTGTGAATTTTACTGCTCAATCATTTATACATAATTAATGCACTTTGTGGCCTAGCCCAACTGCAATTCCCACTTTGTAAAACAAAGAAGAACGAAAGATCGAGGTCAAAAATTATACCGTTGTTGAAATATATTTTACCTCCTATTGCATCGATAACTCTTGTGGTGGCTGTCATATTTGTGTTGATACAATGTCGAAAACAAATGGTCAAATTATCAACAAATATAGATTCTTTACCTCTGACAAATGCAGATTCGTTGCCTCTGACAAATGAAGATTTGTCACCTCTGACATGGAGAAGAATTTCATACCAAGAGCTTTTACAAGCAACAAATGCATTCAGCGAAGCCAACCTTCTTGGCGTTGGAAGTTTTGGTTCAGTATGTAAAGGAACGCTTTCAGATGGGATGATTATTGCCGTAAAGGTTTTCAATTTGCAATTAGAAAGAGCAATCAAGAGTTTTGATGTTGAATGTGAAGTGATATGCAATACTCGCCATCAAAATCTGATGCACTAATAACATGGATTTCAGAGCCTTGGTACTAGAGTCCGTGCCTAATGAGAGCCTTGAGAAATGGTTGTATTCGCACAACTATTGTTTGGACATTCTACAAAGGTTAAACATAATGATAGATGTCACATCAGCCTTGGAAAATCTCCATCATGGTCATGTGTTCACTGTGATTTGATGCCTAAGAATGTCCTACTAGACGAAGATATGATTGCACATGTTGCTGATTTTGGCATTGCCAAACTCTTTGGTGAAGGGGATCTTATGGCACAAACCACGACCTTGGCAACAATTGGGTATATGGCACCAGGTGATGATGTTCTATGCTCATTATATCAATTGAGTTTCAAGCTTTCATATTTACCTTTTGCACTTGTATTGTCCTTTTCCTTGTTAGAATTTCTTTTCATTGTTGATTTGGTGCATAGAGTACGGAATGGAAGGAAGAGTTTCAACAAGATACGATGTCTATAGTTATGGTGTCTTGTTGATGGAAACATTCACAAGGAAGAGGCTGACAAATGAAATGTTTGCCGGAGAGATGAGCTTGAAGCATTGGGTGAAAGAAGCATTAGATGGTTCAATAATTGAAGTTGTGGACAGCAATCTGATAGGAACAGAGGATGAAAATTCCTCTGTTAAGGAGGAATGTGTATCATATATCTTGGGTTTGGCCCTGGATTGTTCAAGTGATAAACCCGCGGAAAGGATCGACATGAAAGAGGTCTTGGTTAGGCTTGAGAAAATTAAAATCTCCTTTTCAGAAAATATTGGAATGGTTGGCAAGAAAAAAGCTATGAATTAACAGGTATCAAGTTTAATACTGTAGTATTTTGTACTTGTTGCATTTTCTTTCCCTCCATTTTTTATACAGTGAACATCCATCCAAAAATTCTGAACATTAGTTTGGAATTATTTTTTAGGAAGTGACAGAAATTTCTATACTTCTTTTTATTGGACTGTTGGGTTACTTGTGGGGAAAAAAGTGAAAGGCCCCTCTCTGTGTATTTCCTGGCTTTTAGTCTTTTCAATGAAATTGCTTACCTTTGAAAAATAAAAATCAATGTCTGTTGTTGCATTGTTATCCCAAGATTTCTAAAAATTTACAGATTTTATTTTTAACATTCGTCAATACCTCATAAATAAATTTTTTTTAAATGATATGGGATAGATTTGGGTCGACATAGAAGCTGATGCCTGATTAAGGAAAATAATTTTAAAGTCAATGGAGTTGTAGAGAATTTCTTGACCGAATGTTTTAATTGATTAATGTATTCAAAATAAAAATTAAAAAAAAAAAAAAAAATTAGACCTTTTACTTCTTTATCTCCAGCATAAATAATGAATTTTTTAAAGTTATGTATAGATAAAGCTATCCAAGAAAATAACTTAAAAAAATTAAAAGTAGTAATTGCACTTTTAACTTTCAACAATATGACTTTGCAAGACTCTATGCAATAACTTTCATATTTTAAGTTACATTTTTAGTTATGCAACATCTTTTCGAAGTTATCCAACAAATGAAAATTTCATATACATTAGTGTGACAGAAAACTTTTATACAAAAAAGAATCAGAATTATCATTAAAAACAATAATGCATTCTTGTAACTGAAATAAAAATGTTTAAAAAAATAATAATTTAGAAGTGACACCTAATGAGATCATATGAAACAATGTGCATACAAATGCAATGAAGGATATGTAGGTGCGCACTAGTAAAATAAAAGTACTAATAATATTAATAAATAAATTAAATAAGGATATATAGGTGCACTAGTAAAATAAAAGTACTAATAATAATAAATAAATAAATAAAATAAGGAAAGAGTCAAAGATCGATCTAACCCGGTATGAGCTTTAAAATTTACACATAAATAAAAGATATGCATGCAAGTTAATAAGTTATTACCAAGGATCCTACGTGGTGTTGAAGAGGATCTCATACTTTATAAAGGGTAGAAATTGAACCATTATGTAGGACCCACCTATGATGGTCCACTCTCATCGAGTATAAGTGCAAATTCCATCAATATGTGCTTTTTCAAGTTATCACTTGAGAAAAATATCAAAACATAATTATTATTTTTCTTTATTCTTCTTCTCAAGTTTATCGGCTGCCGAACTACGGTACTTTTAGGTTTGCAAAAGCTAGTTTGAAAATCTTGTTTAATTTGTGGTAATATGAGGTTATAAGTACTTTCTCGGCCTTTATGCAAAGAGTTTCAGTATTTATTTATTAATTGATATAAATTCTATAAAACTCAAAATTACCTAATAAAATTCAAACTAATTCAAATTAACAAAATATAAAAAGAGTTTAATTCACAATAAAGAGCTTTCATTAATTATTATATCCCACGATATAAATTCTATAAAACTCAAAATTAGCTAATAAAATTAAAATTTAATCTATAATCAATTGTGCTTGACCAAATGGTCCATATATTACATTATTTGTCAATTTTTATATTTTTAATTTAATAAAATCCATGATGTAAATGAGTCGTGAGTTTATTGCTGTAAGCCACACTAAAAATGATATCTTGGAAATTTATTTATATAAAAAAATATTTATTAATGGATATAAAAAGAGTTTTTATCTATACTATTATTAGATGTGCAAAGAGTTTGAGTATTTAATTATTTATTTATTTATATAAAAAAATATTTAAAACACTAAAATCAACATAATAAAATTTAAATTAACCTATTTATCTATTTATTATTATGAATTTTTTAATTAAAAAAATCTAATTAGACAATAATTATTAATATAAAAATATTTATTAATTGATATATAAAACAAAATAATTTTTCTAAAACTCTACCATAAATTAGCTATTATTATGAGTTTCTTAGTAAAATTAAATCAAATTAGACAAGGATAGATTTAAAGAAAATAAAATAATTTCTATAAAACTCTATTACAAATTACCTATTTTATTTTCAATAAAACTGTATCAAACTAAACAAAGATATATTTAAAGAGTTTCTATAAAACTCTAACACAAATTACCTATTTATCTATTAATATTTATTAATTGATATAAAAATAGTTTTTGTAAAAATAGTTTCTATAAAACTCTAAAAATTATCTAATAAAATCAATCATATTCTATATAAAACTCTAATTTTTAGTTCAATATAAAAAGAATAGTTATTTTTTATAAATAATTATCACAATATAACCGGCCCGGCCCAGTTATGATTATGTAATTATCAGAAAAAGGACACATGTCATCATCCTATTAATCCAAGAAGCCTATAAATAAAAGCATGGAGAAAAAGGAATGGGTACCGAAATTGAGAATTCTAAAAATCTAGAATTACAGAGTAAAATACAAAAACTCTGCCAAAAAGTTTAAGTATTTCAGTAATTATTTATTTATATAAAAAAATATTTATTAATTGATATAAAAAGAGTTTTTATCTATACTATTATTAGATGTGCAAAGAGTTTCAGTATTTAAGTACAAATTATTTATTAATATAAAAAATTATTTATTAATTAAAAATATTTATTAAAAGAATTTCTTTAAAACTCTAACACAAATTACTTATTTATCTATTTATTATATAAAACTCTTATTTTTAGTTTAATATAAAAAGAATGGTTATTTTTTATGGATAATTATCACAATATAACCGGTCGGCCAGTTATGATTATGTAATTATCAGAAAAGAACCCATGTCATCATCTTACTAATCCAAAAAGCCTATAAAGAGAGGCATAGAGGAAGGAGGAAGTGGTACAGAAATTAAAAATTCTAGAAATCCAGAATTCTAGAGTAAAATATAGAAACTCTGCCAAAGAATTTCAATATTTTGGTATTTATTTATTTATATAAAAAATATTTATTAATTGATATAAAAAGAGTTTTTATCTGTACTATTATTAGATGTGCAAAGAGTTTCAGTATTTAAGTATTTATTTATTTATATAAAAAAAATATTAAAAAAACTAAAATCTAAATAATAAAATTTAAATTAACTTATTTATCTATTTATTATTATGAATTTTTTTAATAAAAGAAAATCTAATTAGACAATAATTATTAATATAAAAAAATATTTATTAATTGATATATAAAACAAAATAATTTTTTTAAAACTCTACCACAAATTAGCTTTTATCATGAGTTTCTTAATAAAATTAAATCTAATTAGACAATGATATATTTAAAGAAATTAAATCTAATTAGACAATGATATATTTAAAGAAAATAAAATAATTTCTATAAAACTCTATCACAAATTACCTATTTTATTTTCAATAAAACTCTATCACACTAGACAAAGATGTATTTAAAGAGTTTCTATAAAACTCTAACACAAATTACCTATTTGTCTATTTATTATGAATTTTTTTAATAAAAGTAAATCTAATTATAGAAGAATTATTAAAATAAAAAATATTTATTAAGTACAAAATTACCTAATAATATCAGTCGCATTCTATATAAAGCTTTAATTTTAGTTCAATATAAAAAGAATAGCTATTTTTGATGGATAATTATCACAATATAACCTACCCCGCCCAATTATGATTATGTCATTATCAGAAAAGGACACATGTCATAATCCTATTAATCCAAGAAGTCTATAAATAGAGGCATGAAGAAAGGAGGAAAGGATATCGAAATTGAGAATTCTAGAAATTTAGAATTACGGAGTAAAATAGAGAAGCTCTGCTAAAGAGTTTCAGTATTTATTAAAAAGAATTTTTTATCTATACTCTTATTAGATATGTAAAGAGTTTCAGTATTTATTTATTTATATATATAAAAAAAATAAACACTAAAATCTACATAATAAAGAGTTTCTATAAAACTCTAACATAAATTACCTATTTATCTATTTATTGTGAGTTTTTTTTTTAATAAAAGGAAATTTAATTAGACAAGTATCTAATATAAAAAATTATTTATTAATTGATATAAAAAGTGGTTCAAAAGAGTTTCTATAAAAAACTCTAACACAAATTATCAATTTATCTATTTATTTTAAATTTTTTTAACAAAAGTAAATCTAATTAGATAAGAATTATTAAAATAAAAATATTTATTAATTGATATAAAAAGAATTTTTAAAAGAGTTTATATTACACTCTAACACAAATTACCTATTTATTTATTTATTATAAATTTTTAATAAAAGAAATTCTAATTAGAAAATAATTATTAATATAAAAAATATTTTTAATTGATATAAAAAATAAAATAATTTTTCTAAAACTCTATCACAAACTACCTTTTATTATGAGTTTTTTTTTTTTTTTTTTTAATAAAAGCTAATCTAATTTGACAAGAATTATTAAAATTTAAAAATATTTATTAATTGATATAAAAAGAGTTTTTAAAAGAGTTTATATTAAACTCTAACACAAATTACCTATTTATTTATTATTATAAGTTTTTTAATAAAAGAAAATCTAATTAGACTAGAAAAACTCTACCACAAATTACCTATTTTATTTTCAATAAAATTATAATACATTAGACAAAGATATATTTTAAGATTTTCTATAAAAACTCTAATACAAATTATCTATTTATTTTGAGTTTTTTAATAAAAGGAAATCTAATTAGACAAATATTGTTAATATAAAAAATTATTTATTAATTGATATAAAAAGATGTTTTAAAAGAGTTTCTATAAAACTTTAACACAAATTACCTATTTATTTATTTATTGAAATCTAATTCGACAAGAATTATTAATATAAAAAAATATTTATTAATTGATATATAAAGAGTTTTTAAAAGAGTTTCTATAAAATTTTAACACATATTACCTATTTATTTATTTATTATGAGTTTTTTTAATAAAAGAAAATATAATTAAACAAGAATATATTTTAAGAAAATAAAATAATTTTTATAAAATCTATCACAAATTGCCTGTTTTATTTTCTATAAAATTCTATCACATTATTTACAAAACATTCAACACGTGCATCCCACGTGCCTTTTCCTATGTATATATATATTACTAGTATATATTAATTATATTATATTTCCATAAAATCTCGTTCACACTAGGTGACCGGATTGTTGGACTTGCGAGGTCTTAGCAATTAAATTAGTAATAAAGTTAGTGGACCCAAATTTCAAATAATGTAATAGTACTATTTGGCGTTGGCAATTAAATTAGTAATAAATTAGTGGACCCAAATTTCAAATAATGTAATAGTACTATTGTATATTGGCGGTGGCAATTAAATTAGTAATAAATTCAATGGACCTCCACACATTAATTTGTATTCTGTGGTCACACTGGATGGGCTATCTGAGTGGCTAGACTTGTGCCAAGTCTTGACAATTATAATTCCAATATTTGTTGTTGTAGTAATCTTGATTGGATAACAAAATGGGTGGTTGTGATCAATGAGCATAGATTATCAACTATGCATCCTCATAATCACCAGATTATGACCATGATTTCACCGACTTATATAACATCTTGCTAAGCCTTACGTGTTTGCTATGTCGTCCATAACTCTTTCCCATGAAACTCAAACTCATGGAGAGGACTAGCTTCTTCTTTTCTATCGCATTGTTGATACACTCTTGTTGTTCTATGGTTTGCTTGGCTACGTCCATTTTTCCAAACTCGACTACCGATCAATATGCTCTTCTTGCCTTCAGATCCCATATCACTTATGAACCTGAAGATGTATTAGCTAATAATTAGTCTACCACTACCTCAGTTTGCAATTGGATTGGTGTCTCCTGTGATCTTGACCAGAGAGTCACAACCTTGAATCTCTCTCGTGTGGGTCTCCGAGGCACCATCGCTCCACATCTTGGAAATCTCTCATTCCTCGCATCACTTGATATCAGTTACAACAATCTCAACGAGTATATACCCGAAGAGTTGGCTCATTTGTGTCGATTAAAAGAAATCAATTTGGGGTTCAACAATTTCAGTGGAGGGATACCATCATGGTTTGGGATTTTACAAAAACTCCACAAGTTGATACTGTATAACAATAGTTTCACAGGTACTGTCCCAAAATCACTATGCAACATTTCGAAGCTACAGATATTGGATATTTCAAACAATTCTTTACATGGAAATATTCCGGAAGAGATTGGTAATCTTTCTAAACTGAAAGTATTACGCTTGAAATTTAACAAGCTCACAGGTGCCATACCATCTACCATCTTCAACATTTCTTCTTTGAGATTGATTAGTTTGGCAGGCAATAGTCTATCAGGAAGTTTATCAGTAGATATGTGCAACAATCTTCCTAAGCTTGGAGAATTTTCTATTTCTTGGAATCAGCTTAGCGGGCAAATTCCATCCAATTTATACAAATGCCGGGAGCTCCAAGTTTTATCATTGTCGTTCAATGACTTCAATGGCAGGATACCTAAAGAAATTGGCAACCTAACCATGCTCAAGGAGTTATATCTTGGTAGAAACAACTTGGAGGGTATGATTTTAATTTCACATCTAACTATTCATTATAAGCTTAACAAGGGAGAATATCATGTGTTGCTTTTGACAACTTTGCATGTGTAATTCCATCGGAGATAGCTAATCTTCAACATTTGGAACTAATCGACATGAGGAGTAGCTCTCTAATAGGAACCATCCCATCTTCTATCCTCAACATTTCATCATTGCAATTTATATTCTTCAATAACAATACACTATCTGGAAGCCTCCCAGTGACCATTCATTACCACGTTCCCTTTCTTAAGAGTGCTAGATCTTACTTCAAATCAACTCATAGGTCAAATTCCATCTGGCTTATGGAAATGCAAAGGGCTTCAAGGGTTATCACTCATGGGTAACAAATTCACCGGTAGCATATCCAAGAAAATTGGGAACCTTACTTCAATCAAAGTCCTGTTTCTTGACAACAACTACTTGACAGGTACCTTCTTTATTTCACTTTAGTAAATGTTTTCCTTGTGCATAATGAATCTGTATGAAGTTCCAAATTTAAGAGTGCTCCTTACGTTAGAGAAGCTTGTAATTTCATACATGTCATCAAATTTAGTCAGTACATTAAAGAAACATTATTCATCTTTACTTGATTTTTGTATTTTAGATAAATAAATATATTACAATATTATATGTCACAAAATCTATGTCAGAACATCTTTAAATATGCAACCTTCAATTGTTTTATTCCATTTAAAGATCAAAAGTGGCATGACAAATTTCATTCCATTTCAACCATGGAGAGAATAGATTTAAATTAAAACTGTGCTTGTATATGCTTGTATAGTGGGTTGGTCGTCATTTGAGTTTAGCTACTTCTTTTTTCTTTTAATTAAAAAAGAATGGTTGTCAAAATCGAGATTTTGAGTCGTAGAATTGCACGATTCTACAACTCGAGCCCCCCAAAATCAATCCAAATCGCACCAAAATCATTCAGTTGATAGAATCGTGAGTGAAATTGATGGATTCGGTAATAGAATCACATAGAATTTTCTATGTGATTCCACCGATTCTACTGAATTGGATTGTTTGGGCATTTTTTTGGGGGTTGGTTCCTTCTTTTGAGGGTGGGCTACAAAATAAAGAGTGCCCAACACACACTTTGGGTCCAAAGTTTCAATTCTTTGACCACTGGACATCGCGAAAGCCTTGGATAGCTCCATGCATCCTCCTTACAGCTTTTTTGAAGTCTAAACAAGGTGTGGTACTTAACTATGTTTGATTGTTTGAACTTTGAAGTTTTGGACTTCGAAATTTTTCTTTACACTCGGTTCCCATTTTTTTTTTTTTTTTTTTTTTTTCCCTTTTTTGGAATCTGTCAATCTAAAAGTTTAAAGCTTAAGAATTTTGTTTTAATATATATATATATATTTTGTGTGAGTATGTTGACCATGGGGTTGGGAACTTGGGATGTTAGTATGTTACTCTACTTTTTTTATTGGCGCAGTCTACATTTCTCAGGCTTTTTTTTTTTTTTGTGTGCGAGTGTGTTGAATACTTGAATCTGAAAGGTAATGTTAGGCGCTGAATGTTATACATTTTAGCCTCTCTATTCGTATGTTTTATTTTCTTAATAATAGTTTATTTGTGATTTTACATTGTTTTATTGTTTTTATTTATTTCAGGACTTTAATTGTAAAATCAGTCAATACTAGTAATTCTGAACTTTACAAGATGACTTTTCGTGGGAACGAGCAATGTTGAAGATCCAAATCTAATTATACTTAGAAAATAGTCCAAAAGAAGCTACAAGTTGATGAGAATGGAAAGAAGAACAAAAGGAAAAATCCTTCTCCAAAAAGGAAACTTTCGCCAAAGTTGGTAGCTTGAACCCGTTTTGGTAATCTGGCTGTATCTCTCTCCTCGAGTGTCAAAATGGCTAAATTCTTGCTTGGATTGATAGGAAATTCGAAGAGCTGCAATTTTGTGTTTCACGAGCTTTCCTTAAAACAGTTGTTTACCTTGTCAAAATTGGCCTAAAAGTCTGCACGAATTTTGGGAGTCCTTATTCGACAGAATTTCTATGTATGTCTCCTATATGAAAATGGGAGCTTTAGGGCTGATCTCTTATTATTTAAAGGGAGTCCTCTGCAACATTGAGGGATCATACAGAGGAGCTTGAGGCTTAGATCAGAAAGGAGTAGTCAGAAGAAAGAAGAGATCGATCCATGGCGATGAAGATGTCTTCCTCAACCATGAAGAATTCCACCCCAATCATGCTTCGCTAAACGCTTTGCTAGGGTTGTGATGTAGCCCTAGCTTAGCAACCTGGTTTGATTGTATTTAATTATTAGAGAATAATTTTTATCATGCATGATTGTGTAATCTATAGGGTTTTTTTTATTGAATTTTCAATAAGAATCAGTTTTAGAGTTTTAATTCAATTACAAATATTTTTCTATCTTGTCTTAGATATTTTAATCTTGTGATTGAACACAACTCATTCGCTTCTTGTAGTTGTGAATGAGATGATTACACAATGGTTCTTATCTGAATATAATATTAGAGATTTGATAGATTATGCCTAGAAAAAATAGACCATGCTACACCCTAAAGTAAAGTAGATAGGTAGATGGTTTATGCCAATCGAAGATAGTCCATGCTTAGTTTTAAATTATATTATTTTCTAGCTGAATTAATATGTGCTTGTAGCCATGATTAATTCCCCGCGCATGTTATATGAAATATCTCCAATAAATTGATACAATTAACTGGTGGTGCGACGTTAGTGGTGAAATCATACTCCTAGTTCTGTCTCTCTATTTTCTACATCATATTTGATCATCGGTCTTTAGTTTATTTTATTTTTCTATTTAGTTAATTTAGAATTAATCATCACAATTCGATTATCCTACTTTCAAGTTAATTTTGGAATTTAAGAAATCTGTTGATAAACTTATTTTACACAAGTCCCTTGGGTACGACACCCTTACAAGTAAACACTATCTACAAAGATTCGTGCACTTGCAAGTGGTACATATAAATCTCACAGCAGGTAATGCAGTCCAACTTAAACAAGAAAAAGAAATAAAAGAATAGATGAGGAAACTTAAAAACAAAACAAGGAACCATTCGCCGTGAAGCAAAGAATTTGGTAGAAATGCTGAAAATGACATGGGTAAATTTTCCTCTCTGGAACCACATTAAAAAATATATATTTACCTTCAAGATTTATGTTTGGCTTTAAAACTCAATCATACTTTGAAATTTAATTTATACATCAAGGCTGGCATGCATGCATATATGATAATCTATAATGCAACTACTCAATTGGATATAGGCTTGGCATTTTGACAGGCACTTTGTTGTTGATTATGAATCTATTATTTTTTAAATTATTTTTGAAAGTTTGCTTAGTTATATGAAAATATTTCATGATATAACTATGACAGATGACACTTAGATTCACTAAAAATTGTTGGCTAATGCAATGCACACACAATTGTCTAGCAGTTTAATTTTTTTTTTTTTTTTTTTTTTTTTTTTTTTTTATGATTAAAGTCTAATTTTAATAAATATTTTGGCATTAGTTTGCAATCTAAAATTATCTTAAACAAACTACTTTCGCTCTTATAAGCAAAAAAAATTTCCTATTTTTCAAACAATTACATTAGAAAGTTAACCTATTTTTCTATTGAATAATTCGCTCCTTTTGACAGAAAAAAAAGTACCAGGAGTAAAGGAAGTAAAAAAAAAAAAAAAAGTTTATTTTATAAAAGGTAGGAATGGTATTATAAAATAAGAGATATGCATTAATAATTTTAAGGACATTCTTATCATTTTTTTTACAATATAAACTTTTTTCTTGCTTCCTATATTATAAAAGGTAGGAATGGTACGTGAGAGTGCAGTAGTAAAAAGAGGAGTGCAAATTAAGTTTTTCTTGCTTCCTCCATTCTGTATATCACAAACTCTTAGGTCCAATAAACCAATCACTGTGTGGATAATTCATGAATGCAATCCTTCTCAACTTAATTACAAAGTCATGGTAATTTGTAAGACTCTTAAAAAGCTTCAAGAATAATGCTGGTGTGTTCATGTTGTGAATGGCAGGTTCTTTACCAGATGAGATTGGTAACCTTAATCTCGAGGTTCTTACTGTCAATTGGAACACTTTGACAGGCACCATTCCGTTCAAAATATTTAATGTGTCGACAATGAAAGCCCTTAACCTGGCAGGCAATTACTTCTCAGGCCATCTTCCTTTGGACATAGGGGTTGGGCTTTCTAATCTTGAATACCTCTGAATACCAATAAACTCGGTGGAAAAATCCCAAGCTCTATCTCGGATGCTTCTAGGCTGGTCCTCATTGACATGTCTATAAATTCATTCACTGGATGTATACCCAATACACTTGGTAGTTTAAGATTCTTGAAGTTTCTCATCCTTGAATCAAATAGTGTGACCGGAGAATCCTCTACCCCGGAGTTGAGACTTTTCTCTTCTTTAACAAATTGCAGACAATTGAAGATATTGAGCATATCATTAAATCCCCTAAATGGCATACTTCCAAATTCATTGGGAAATTTGTCTTCCTCTCTTCAAACCTTTCATGCATCTGGATGCCAACTCAAGGGCAACATCCCAACTAGAATCGGGAATTTTAGCAACTTGTATATCATAGACTTAGGAAGCAACCAACTGACTGGACCTATCCCAAAAACAATAGGGGCATTACAAAATCTCGAAGTTTTATTTCTTCAAAATAATAGATTGCATGGATACATTCCGGATGATTTTTGTCGGTTAAGGAGATTGGGGAGCTTGTACTTAAGTGATAATAAGCTATATGGACAGATCCCTACGTGCTTGGGTGAGCTTAAGTCTCTAAGATGGCTTGATCTTGACTCCAACAAATTGTCTTCCATAATACCGTCAAACTTGTGGAGCCTTGAAGATCTATTGGGTGTTAACTTATCCTCAAACTTTCTAAGAGGTCATCTACCATTAGAAATTGGAAATTTGGAAGTTATAGGATCTATAGACTTGTCAAGGAATCACTTATCAGGCACAATCCCGAACACCATCGGAGGAGCTCAGTCATTAGTTTCTCTCTCCTTGGCCCACAATAAAATGCAAGGACCTATTCCTCAATCGCTTGGCAACTTGATAAGCTTGGAGTTGTTAGATCTATCTAGTAACAACTTTTCTGGAGTTATTCCCAAATCTTTGGAGGCACTCAGGTATCTCCAATATTTCAATGTGTATTTCAATAGACTAAAAGGAGAAATTCCTACGGGAGGACATTTTGCCAACTTTACAGCCAAGTCATTTTGGCATAATGATGCACTGTGTGGTGTACCACGATTGCAAGTTCCCCCGTGCGAAACCAACAAGAATCCGCAATTTGCTGTTTTGAAATATGTTTTACCCCCTGTTGCATTAGCAATTCTTGTTGTGGCCCTTGTATTTTTGTTGATGGGATGCCGAAACCAGAAGATCAAATTAAAGACCTAAGCAGATTTGCCTTCTCTGGCATGGAGGAGGGTTTCGTATGAGGAACTTCTACAAGCAACAAAAGCATTTAGTGATACAAACCTAATCGGCATGGGGAGTTATGGTTCAGTATATAAAGGAGTGCTCTTGGATGGGATGAGTATTGCGATAAAGGTTTTCAACTTGCAACTAGAAAGAGCTTTCAAGAGTTTTGAGGTCGAGTGTGAACTAATGCGCAACATTCATCATCGAAATCTAATTAAAATTATCAGCAGTTGCACTATTTCAAAGCCTTGATACTAGAGTACATGCCTAATGGGAGCCTCGAGAAGTGGTTGTATTCGCACAACTGTTGCTTGGATATCCTCCAACGATTAAATATCATGATAGATGTTGCATCAGCCTTAAAATATCTACATCATGGTCATACAACACCCATTGTTCACTGCGATTTGAAGCCCAGCAATGTCCTCCTCGATGAAGACATGGTTGCACATATTGCTGATTTTAGAATTGCAAAACTCTTAAGTGAAGGGGATCTTATAGTACAAACCATGACCTTGGCAACAATTGGATATATGGCACCAGGTGATGTTCCATTTTTGTTATTTAATTTAGTTCATGCTGAAGTATTCCTATTTTATTATTATTATTATTATTATTATTATTATTATTTTTAAGACATTAAATTTTCCATTCCATGCTAAAAGTTCGGTTCCAGTTTTGATTTTGTAATTAATGTTAATGTCATGCATAGAATATGGAACGGGACGAATAGTATCTACAAGAGGTGACATCTACAGTTATGATGTTATGTTGCTGGAAACATTCACAAGGAAGAAGCCGACGGAAGAAATGTTTGCTGGGGAGATGAGCTTGAAGCGTTGGGTGAATGAAGGATTAATGGATGGCTCAATCATTGGAGTTGTGGATTGTAATTTGATGGGAAGAGAAGAAGAAGATTTCTCTGTGAAGGAGCAATGTGTATCATCAATCTGGGGTTTGGCCATGGAATGTTCAAATGATTCACTTGAGAAAAGGATCAACATGGAAGAAGTCTTGGTGAAATTGATTCGCAAGTCGAAGTCCAACTGTCCAGCGAATGCTGGGTTGATCTAAAACCCTAACCACACATAATCAATCACATTGTTGCTGAAGGTATGTACTATATTCTTCGACAAGTGGAGACACATAAAAAGTTGCTGAAAGTAATTACAAGGAAGATAGTAGTCTCTTCTTTTTGACTTGACTCTTCAGTGGCAACTATAACCTCTTTCACATAGCCATGCAAAAGCATATTATTATTATTATTATTATATATCAAAAAAAAAAAAAAATTTGTTTAACCAATGAAAATTCTTGATTTGTGTCCCGGGAAACTTGTATTGTTTTTTTCACTAAATGGGAAATTTTTACTAGCATAAAGCAGAACTAGAAATTATTAATATTTCTTCCTTTCGAATATGAAAAGTTTAGATTTATATTATATATCGCAAATAATATCGGTGGTGCAAAAAAGTAGTATGAAAATTAATCTCTTTGTTTAGGAGAAACACCGTGTACAAGAAAGTGAGTGTGTAACCGAGTACGTACTCGTGAAATGCATGCCATTCAAGTCTTCGAAAGCAATGATTAGTCAAGTTTCGAACGTTGTTTCATGATTCCATACAATGCTTGATTTCCCTATCTTATATAAGTCCCGCTAAACTAATCCATCTTTATACAAGTCCGTTAATAGTAATTTACACATATGAATGCCATGGACAACACCAGTTGCTTCCTTTTTTCCATCTCATTGCTAGTAAGTTTTTTCATCGTTTGCTTGTCTACCTCCATCACAAACTTGACCACTGATCAATTTGCTCTTCTTGCAGTCAGAGACCCTATCACTCGCAACCCTGAAGATGTATTGGCTAGTAATTGGTCCACCACTAGCTTAGTTTGCAATTGGGTTGGTGTCTCATGTGGTCTTAGGCACCACAGAGTCACAGCCTTGAATCTCTCTCGTATGGGTCTCCAAGGCACCATCGCTCCACATCTTGGAAATCTCGCATTCCTCGTGTCACTCGACATCAGTCACAACAATTTCTATGGCTATGTACCTCAAGAGTTGGCTCGTTTGCATCAAAGGAAATCCGTGTGCAATACAACTACTTCAGTGGAGAGGTGCCATCATGGTTTGGGATCTTACCAGAACTACATCAGTTGCATCTGAATAAAAAAAGTTTCACAGGTACTATCCCAAAATCACTAGGTAACATCTCCAAGCTATAATTATTGGATATAAGAAACAATTCTTTGCATGGAAACATTCCAAAAGAGATTGGTCATCTCTCTAAACTAGAAATGCTGCACTTAAGAGTTTTAACAAGCTCACAGGGTCCATCCCATCTTCAATCTTCAACGTTTCTTTTTTGAGGTCGATTGATTTCACAAACAATAACATCTCTAGAAGTTTGCCAATAGATATATGCAGCCATCTTCCTAAACTTGAAGGACTTTATCTTTCTCTGAATAAACTTCATGGCCAGATTCCCTCCAATTTATATAAATGCACGGAGCTCCAATATCTATAATTATCATTCAACAACTTCAGTGGCAGCATACCAAGAGAAATTGGCAACTTGACTATGCTCAAGGGGTTATATCTTGGTATAAACAACTTGAAAGGTATGATTTTAACCTCACATCCAACTCATACATCATATCATGTAATTATATATTCATTACAAGCATGTACTGATATAATAAGAGAGAAAATTATATATGTGTTGCTTTTGACGAATTTGCAGGTGTATTTCCCTAAAAAAAATAGGTAATCTTCAACGTCTGGAAGTACTGAGTTTAATCAATAACTCTCTAACAGGGTCCATACCATCTTCAATCTTCAACATTTCTTCTTTGAGAATAATTGATTTAACAGACAATAGCCTGTCTGGAAGTTAACCTATAGACATGTGCAGCCACCTTCCTAAACTTGGAGGACTTCGTCTTTCTTCGAATCAGCTTAATGTGTAAAGTCCATCCAATTTATGCAAATGCAGGGAGCTCCAAATTTTATCATTGTCATTGAATGGCTTTAATGGCGGCATACCTAGAGAAATTGGCAGCCTACATATGCTCAAGGAGTTATATCTTGGTAGAAACAACTTGAAAGGTATGCTTTTAAGTTCACATCTAACTCACGAGTTAGTAGTTTCAATATATACCTTTTTGTGGAGAAGAAATTCCTTAAGCAGAAGTGAAAATTGATAAACTTGTGTTGGAGCTATTCTTCCATACTAGCTAATTGTTCAACCATATCATTCATAACACTAGCTAAATATGTCTTATAAGTCTTTTATTTTCATTTTTATTTTCAATGAGCACATATATGAGGATGTTGTTTTATTATTTACTTATATATGTCAATGTCGGATGTTCTAAATATACCTGAGCATCAAAACAAGGTATTCATATGATCATCATAACCCGCCCGGTACTCTTGGAAACACGGATACGGACATGGACACGGGTACAATACAGTACGAACATGGCTATATGACAAATCTTTAAAAAGTAAGCCATAGATAAGGCATTGATACGTCAAAAGAAATATATATATATATATTATTGAATATAATAATAAAAATAAAAATAAAAATTGTTTTTACTCATTTTATCCACATAATCATTAATGAAATCATCATAAATTTGGAGCTTAGAGCTAGGTCCTTGTTATTTTAGTGAATTTTATATTATTTTGTAACTAACCCATAATATATTTTAAGTTGCACTTATTTTCATCTTTTACAAAAAATAATTACAAAATCATCCCACCGTGTTTTGAAAGTGTACAAAACATGTCATTGCCTTGTCCATGTTGTGTCCCAGCTGTATCCAACCTCAAAAATATTCAAATTTCAACAAACTTTTAGCTCTGTGTGTGTGTCTTATACCGCTATAACACCCCTAGGTGAAGTGTTTATGCTTCTTAGCACTTGCGTGACTAATTATTGTTATTACATAATTATATATTCGTTACAAGCATACTTGTATAACAAGGAAAAATTTATATATGTGTTGCTTCTGACAACTTCGCAGGTGTTATTCCATCAGAGATAGGTAATCTTCAAAGTTTGGAAGTAATGAACTTAATCGATAGCTCTCTAACAGGGTTCATCCCATCTTCAATCTTCAATATTTCTTCTCTGAAAATAATTAATTTCTCAAACAATAGCCTGTCTGGAAGTTTTCCTGTACATATGTGCAACCATCTCCCTAAACTTGGTGGACTTTATCTTTCTCGGAATCAACTTAACATGCAAATTCCATCTAATTTATACAAAAGCAGGGAGCTCCAAAGTTTATCATTGTCAATCAATAGCTTTAATGGCTGTAAACCTAGAGAAATTGGCAACTTGACTATCCTCAATGAATTATATCTTGATGAAAACAACTTGGAAGGTATAATTTTAAGTTCCCATCTAACTTAGAAGCTAGTTTTGATATATATTTTCTTGTTATATATAAAATGTGTTCCATATTGACTTGTAAGTATCAAAACTGTGAGTTGCGTGCTTTGCAAAAGTGGTGTGAAAAGTTTGATCCTAGATGAGAAAACTAGAGGAGGTGAATAGGTTTAGCTTTCTCTTTTGATTGATTTGTAATTAGATTATTTTAATTTTACTGGATTTAAACTAAACCAACACACAAAGCAATAAAAATAATGTAAGAAAAATAAATTAACTTAGGAATTCAAATATACCGACTCGTAAACATCATATTTGAGAATAGGTTGATACAAGTATAATAAAATGTTTTCAAAAAATATATAAAAGTAGTTATACAAATTTGATTTTTTCCAATATTTGTGGTTTGTACTCCTTCCCAATTCAATCATATTCAATTGATCTCTTGTATTAAATTCTACCTAAATTTATACTATTACTAATTATTTATATTAACTAAAAATGAACATCATATAACTTTTTCTTGTTTTGTCATACTCTATATTACAATCTCTTAGGTCCAAATAACCAATTCAATCAAGGATAATTTTTCTACACAGCAATAGTCACACCATGTGTGGGAATTGTGGATAACTCATAAATGAATACCTTTTCAACTCTTATAGCTTAATGAATAATTTGTAAAACTCATAAAGCTTGATGAATAATGCCAGGGTGTTATGTTATGAATGGCAGGTACTTTACCAGATGAGATTGGTAACCTTAGTCTTGAGATGTCTTTGGAAATAGCTTAATTGGAACCATTCCATTCAACATGTTCAATGTGTCAACAATGAAAATACTTAACCTAGGATCTAATCATTTTACTGGAAATCTTCCTTCTGACATGGGGTATTGGCTTCCGAATCTTGAAGAGCTTTATCTAATCAAGAATAAACTCAGTGGAACAATCCCGAGCTCTATCTCTAATGCTTCTAAGCTAACTATCATTAACATGAGCATGAACTCTTTCACTCGATCTATACCCAATACGCTTGGTAGTTTAAGACCCTTGCGGAAGCTCTTCCTTCATACAAATAGTTTGACCAGGGAATCTTCTACTCCAGAGTTGAGAATTTTCTCTTCTTTAACAAATTGCAGACAATTGGAGGTATTGCGCATATCATTAAATCCACTCAACAGCATTCTTCCAATTTCTTCATTTGGGAATTTGTCTACTAAACTACAAGTGTTTGACGCATTTGGATGCAAAATTAAGGGCAAAATTCCTAGTGGAATAGGCAATTTGAGGAACTTGGTAATCTTGCGCTTAGGAAGGAACCAATTGAGTGGACCTATTCCAAAAACAATAGATAGATTATAAGATCTCGTACGTTTGCATCTTCAAAATAATAGATTGGATGGACATATCCCAAATGAACTCTGTCGGTTAGGAAAATTGGGAGATTTTTCTGTAAGTGATAAAAAGCTAGATGGACAGATTCCAACATGCTTGGGTGACCTTAAATCTTTAAGATGCCTTTACCTTGATTCCAACAGATTGACTTCCATGGTACCGTCAAACTTGTGGAGCCTTGAAGACCTATTGGGTCTTAACCTATCCTCAAAACTTTCTAACTAGTGACCTACCTTTATATATCGGAAACTTGAAGGTCATAACACTAATTGACTTGTCAAGGTATCGTCCCAAGCACCATCGAAGGAGCTCAGTCATTAGTTTCTCTTTCATTGTTTGACAATGAAATGCAAGGACCCATTCTTCAATCATTGGGCAACCTCACAAGCTTGGAATTATTAGATCTATCCCGTAACAATTTGTCTGGAAAAATTCCCGAGTCCTTAGAAGAACTCAGGTATCTCCAATATTTGAATGTGTCTTTCAATAGACTGCAAGGAGAAATTCCTAGTGGAGGACATTTCGCAAACTTTACAGCTTGGTCGTTTATGCATAATGATGCACTTTGTGGTGAACCCCGACTGCAAGTTTCCTCGTGCAAAACCAACAAAAATGGGCGATTGACACCAAAAATTGTATCCCTGCTGAAATATATTTTACCCTCTGTTGCATTATCAATTCTTGTTATGGTCCTCATAGTTTTGTTGATAGGATATCGAAAACAAAAGATTAAATTGTAGACCAAAGCAGATTTGTCACCTCTGGCATGGAGAAAGTTTTTGTATCAAGAACTTTTACGAGCAACAGAAGCATTAAGTGAAACCAACCTAGTTGCCAAGGGAAGTTATGGTTCAGTATATAAAGGAATGCTTTCTGATGGGATGAATATTGTAGTAAAGGTTTTCAATTTGCAGTTAGAAGGAGCTTTCAAGAGTTTTGATGTCGAGTGCGAAGTGTTGCGCGACATTCAGCATCGCAATCTAGTTAAAATCATTAGCAGTTGCTGCAACATGGATTTCAAAGCATTGGTACTAGAGTACATGCCTAATGGGAGCCTCGAGAACTGGTTGCATTCTCACAACTATTATTTGGACATAGTACAACGGTTAAACATAATGATAGATGTTGCATCAGCATTGAAACATTTACATCATGGTCATACAACACCTATTATTCACTGTGATTTAAAACCAAGTAATGTCCTTCTTGATGAAGACATGACTGCATATGTTGCTGATTTTGGGATTGCCAAACTCTTAAGTGACGGGGATCTTATGGTTCAAACCATGACTTTGGCAACCATCGGGTATCTGGCACCAAGTGATGTTCTATGTTCCATCTTTAATTCATTTTTTCAGCTTTTCCTATTTATTTTATGAACTTGCATTGTCCTTTTTCTTGTTTAGAATCTATTATTTATTTATTTTTATTTTTTTCCAATTTTTTTCCAATAAGGTAAAGTCAATCTAGTTTCATTGTTGATTTTCTAATTAATGTTGATGTGGTGCGTAGAATACAGAATTAAAGGAAGAGTATCAACAAGATGCGATGCCTATAGTTAGGGTATAGGCCCTCATGTATGAGGGCTTCTACTAGGAGCCAAAAACGCCGTGGAAACCTATTCACAGTGCATTTTAGGCCCTTGTGTATGAGGGTTCCGTAAATACTCAATTTTTTTTACGACAAAAAATTTATCTCGTGGAAAAATAATAGATTCGCCGTAGAAATAATTTTGTTTATATATATTAAATTTATTTATACATTAATAATTAACCTACGAAGTGCCGAGGCATGCCGTAGAAAACTTTTCTACGGCGAATTGTAACTACCCGTAGAACACTCACGAGGCACCATTTCCTACCGTAGAAAAGTTTTCTACGGTGCCGAGGCATGCCGTAGAAAACTTTTCTACGGCGAATTGTAACTACCTGTAGAAAACTCACGAGACACCATTTCCTGCAATAGAAAACTTTTCTACGGCGAAGTGGAACTACTCGTAAATAATCTCACGAGGTACTGAAAGATATAATATAAACCATTCTCGCCACTTCCCATCTACTGTAGAAAAGTTATTTAAGGAGAATTTTCACTTATTTACGGGGTTTCAAGCTCCCGTAAATAAAATATATATATATATATATATATATATATATATATATATATATATATATATATATATATATAGAACACCCTTAATTAATTTCAATTAATCATCCACTATAATTCACATCACTTTTAGATATAATTTAATTCAAAAAACATGCATATCCCATTAAATATATCAAAAGAGTTAGAACATTTTTACAATTCATCATTTATCAATGTTCCAAAATAGGAAGTACATCCATTTATGAAGAAAATCATCAATTTCTCAACACTTCTGTTGAAAAATTGATAAATCTTCTAGCACTTGAGTTTCAGTCTGCACTTGTCAAAAAACCACCTCACTATACAAAATCCAAGGAAGTAGCTGCAAAATCCACGGTACAAAATCCAAGAAAGTAGCTGCATCACACAAGTCTCAAATTCAGAATGCTAATAAATTTTTACAAGGATGTATGAGAACAGACAATATCATAATCTCTTTATATTCATGAACAATACAATATCATAATATGTAGGCTCTTTATCTCATGATTATGAACAAATCTAAAACATACTGAAACAAATCTGAAACATTGTAGGTTTTTGGTGCAACAATTATGAGCAAATCTGAAACTTTGAATACAAGTCAAGTCTTATATATATACTATCTCAGTTTGTTGCTAGTTTAATTTATATATGTTTTCTTTTTATGTTCTAGTTTAATAATTTTTCAGATTTTTCGTTTTTGGGCTGCAGTAGGATTTATGGGTCATATTTTGGTCCAAATTATTGTAATGAACCTTTGTTCATAGTTTAATTAGTCAAAGTTTATATGTTTTTATTTATTTCTTTTCCCTAAGCAAAGTTCTCAAGTTTCTAAATAAGACTCCAAATCTTATATCTATGAGTGCTTCAATTAAGTAAAGAACATCTTTTACAGGAATTTTCCAACAAACCTTAAGTGTGATGGTTATGGGAATCTAGGGTGATCGTTCTACTCTGTTGGTCCCTAAAATGCCTCTCTTGAGGTTTGCTCTTTTAATGACAAAATGCATGTTTAAATGGCTAAATGCAATTTGATCATGGTTTATTGGCATAGGCTAAATGCAAACTGATATAAGCTCATTACTCACTGGAGTTTCAAGGAAGTCATTGCAGCCCTTATAAGTTAAAGAATTTTGTGACAACACACTTAATTGGCCTACAGCCTTTATAAGGGCATTTTTGTCATTATACACATCATTATATTCATATTATAATGATTTGGCTAGTTGGTTGTTAGGCTTGGCTTGAAAAACTAATGATCCCCAAATTGAGATTGAGATTGGTTTCTTTATCTCTGCAACTGATGCCAAACTAGATTTTAATTTCGAGCTCTCTTCAAGAAACTGTAGAACTCCATTTCATTGTGCAATGTAGTTGTTAGACTCTTCATTAGTGAGGAGCAGAGTGCTTTAGTTCCAGATAGGTTGATCACTGATAATAAACTTATTGCACGTGATGTGGTGCATTTTTAAAACTAGAAGGGGGAGGAAAAATAAGTTTATGGCAGTTGAGCTTTACATGGCAAAGGCATATGATAGGGTGGCATGGGGTTATGTCCAGAAGGTTTTGCACATCCTGGGATTTGATGATAGATGTATTCGGGTCGTTATGGCTACTGTTGGTACTGTATCCCATTATGTTTTGGTGAATGGTTGTGCAGGGAATCTTTTTTGTGCCCTCTAAAGGACTTCGGCAAGGCAATCCACTTTCACCTTATCTCTTTCTCTTGTGTGCAGAGGGTTTAACTAGATTAATTCAACTAAGCAATCCGAGATGGAGTTTTTCCTGGTATCAAGATGCATAGGAGTTGTCCTATTGTGTCACATATGCTTTTTGCTGACGACTCTTTAGTATTTTGTAAAGCTGACTTATGTGAATTGAATGTGTTGAGACAGATATTGCTCAGATATGAACGATTAACTGGACAGCAAGTAAATTATATAAAGTCATCTATTATTTTTAGCTGAAATGTAACTATTGATGATGGAATTGAATTGACTAGAAGGTTGGGTGTTCAAGCTTGAGGAAGTTTTTATAGATACTTGGGTTTACCTGCTGAGATTGGAAGGTCAAAAAGGCAAATCTTTCAGTATCTTGAGGACAGAATGGTGGCAAAAATAAAGGAGTGGAAGGATTGTTTCTTTTCTGCCTCTGGGAAGGAGAGACTAATAAAATCTGTTCTTCAAGCCATTCCCACGTACACAATGAGTTGCTTTAAGATTCTTACTGGGATATGCCGAAAATTAAGTAAAAATATAATGCACTTTTGGTGGGCAGGGCCTAAGGAGGAAAATAAGATATGTTGGCTGAAATGGGATCAGTTGTGTAGAAATAAGAAACATGGTGGTCTGGGGTTTGGAGAACTATAGGTATTCAACCTTGCTTTATTATCCAAGCAAGGATGGAGACTTGCAGTTGAAGATGGTGGCTTGTTGTCAAGAATTTACAAAGGTAAATATTTTTCAGAGACTTCTTTTTTGGAGGCTAGAGTAAGAAAGAGCTCCATCTGGGCTTGGAAAAGCATGTGTAGTTGCAGAGAGGTTCTCAAGAGAGGTTTGCGGTGGAGGGTGGGTACAGGTGATGGTGTTAATGACATATGCTAAAGATAGACTAGTGTGGCACTTCACTAATGATGGAAACTTTATGGTTAAATCTGCTTATAGAGTTGCATTTGAATGGCCACAAGGTCCACATCACAGTTCCGGTCCTTCCGGATATGCCAGGAGGATTGGGGATTGTGCAAATGCTCATGGTTTTTGGAGTCAGCTATGGAATCTGAAGGTGAAGAAAAAATTGATCCATTTTATCATGGGACTATTTCCGTATCATTAAATCTAAAGAAATGAGGTATAATAGTAGAAGATGATGCATGTTTGAGATGTGGTTTGGAGGTGGAATCCATCGACCATGTTATTCTGAGGTGCCCATATGCAGTCAAAGTCTGGAAGCTGCGCCCAATTAGACTGGACCAAGTACTTTTTACTGCTTCTTCTAGGGGATCAATGGTTTTGCAGCCTATTGAAACTATGGGTGAAATCCGCTGACAAGATTCACAATTTAAGTCTGGTGGTGTATATTTGTTGGCATATTTGGAGAAGTCGAAATAAATTTTATTTTGATCAGCAAGTCATTGAGGAAAGAGTTCTGGTTCAGCTTGCTACACAACAGTGGCATGAGGTTAAGGATGCCTTGGGTAATAGTCGCGACACTGTAGGTTGTATTGGAAATGGAGATGGTTTGAACAAGCAGCCAGTAAGATGGATTGCACCATCAGATGGTAAGCTCAAATTGAATTTTGATGCAGCTTTTAGAGCTCAAACAAACAAACAAAGGAGGCTGCAATTGGTTTAGTCCTCAGGAATTCGAATGGAAAGTTTTTGAAAGTGGTCATTCACTTCTTCCCTATGGCGGCAACAGCCTTAGTAGCTGAAGCTATGTCTACTAGATTGGCCTTGAAGTGGGCAGTAGCATGGTAGTTAACTGAGGTGGTGATTGAGGGAGACTGCGAATTAGTGATCCAGCCGAAGAATGTTGCAGTGAGCATTGCATCCATTTATGAGGATATTTGTGTTAATTAACAAATGCATGATCAGTGGAAGATAGAGTGGGTCAAGAGAGAAGATAATAGAATGGCTCATTTTTTACTAGTATGTCATTTTTATGTCTTTTTTCCTTTAAGTAAAGGTATAAACAACATATCAACAACTTCTCCTCCACAACAATCAATCAAAACCTCCACATACAATGATCCCATACTCCCATGCTTTCAACATTTTAAAACAAGAAATAAAATTTAATGGCCTCCACATGGGCCGATGTACCAATAAGGTAATAAAGTTCAAGATACACCGGAAAATTGGTCACTTAAAGGCACGTGACCCCCCTAAGTATGAGTATAAAAAGCATTAAAATTGTGCAATCATAAAAGAAGCTTAGTATTTGACCTTTGTTGTAGATTGGAATCATAGAAATTATGATTCTTCTGCTCCTAATGAACTGGTGATAATCAATCCTGTCAGAAAAAAATATTTCAAAAATGTAATGCCAACAAATACATAAAAAATCAGATCGTATGAGTATAAAAAGCATTAAAATTGTGCAATCATAAAAGAAGCTTTGTTCGTTCTATGAAGAAACTAGGGTTCCTATTTTGAATCTTCGATATCAGGTAAGTCTCTTTTATTTGATTTATGTGTTTTCTTCTTTTCATAAATTTCTATTAGATTTAGGTCATCCTTTAATCTGTATTTTTTTTTTGGGTACTCTGTGTAGAGATTATTTAGCTATAAATTGTTAGTATCAGAAGGGAAAAAACAACTGTAACATCACTTTTTTATTTTTTATTTTTTTCAATAATTAACTGTAACATCAAATTCTATGAAAAAAGGATGATAAAGCCCATCTCTAAATGCAGAAGAAGAAGAAGATTGAAAGAGAAA